AACAAGGTTCAGAAATATTTTAGAGAAAATAGGGCTGCTTTGCGAAATATTCAAGTTTAAGTGTTTTCCAGGATTTCCCCATAACTTGAATAAATTACATTTGATTTTCATGAAATCTATATATAACATATTTTGGTCTTTTATCCTTCATTTGACAAAATATTGACCGGATCAAAGCAAAATAAACTGCATTTCGATGCCTTTCTTTCGTCATGGTCGGTACTAAAAACAACTGTCCCCAGATACCTTAAAACACTCGAGATGGCTGTGTTATCACATGACCGGAAGCTCAAATGTATCATAGATGTACGAATATCGTTAGTAAATGCTAAATGCTACTTGCGCTTTTATGTGATAACTAGACGATCATGGATCGCTTACGTGGGCTTCCTGTAGCTGCGACAATGGCATTTCATTTTCACGATACAGTCTTTGTTTGTAATAAGTCAAGACAGAATTTAGTTATATAAGTTATTTATGACATCATAATTTTTTGCCGAACTGAACTCAAGTAACTTCTTTAGATATCATGTCTTTCTCAGTTTTCCAAAATAACTAGCTCGACTTTACGCTCTAAGAGCGTCTTTATTATTCAAAATATGCAAAATATCTGAAAGTTCATATAAACAATAGAAACGGTACAGTCTTTGCAGTTTTGTCAGTATCGTATAACTTTGAATAATATTTTGATCGTTTGAATCATGTAAGATCTTGTGTTTCTGTTCTTTTTATTTGGTGTATAATTTTACATCTGGCATTCTGTGCAAAAGTAAGAAAATTCTAAAAGAAGTTAAAATATGCTGTTACAAATGTCATTTGACAAAAGCGACATCGATGACAAAAGAACTCGAAAATTTGTCCTGTTGTAAGGTTTGTGACTTATACAATACACCTTTTCAGTTGCTCTTAGGCCTCGACAGCGTGTTAAATATTCTTTTGAATTTGTAGGAATGCGAGCAATGCAAACATTGATATGAATAGTCTCATTTGTCAAATTCAAAAGAATAATTAACTTGCTATCGAGGCCTAAGTGCAACTGAAAAGGTGTATTATCCAAGAATTTATGAATTATACAAAAAAAAAACATTT